ACGAGCGGAACGGAAGCGTCAAACGATTACGACATTTCCAGCGGGTATGGATGGGAAAACTACCAGAATTCCAACCCAGCTGTGGTGGTCTCCATCGTTCGAGCTAGCTTCTACGATGATGCCGTTGGATATTTCAACAACATCGGGGTTCCGTTGAGCGGGTACATTCAATGGGCACAGTGATATTTTAGCGATACGCCTCTGAGGCTAATGTAGCAGCCCTTCACTTCCTTCACGCGCACACCGTAATCTTCTGATATCAGCAGGTGACATCACCTGGACCGCAGCGCAGCTCTATTTTCCAAAGGCGGCATGGGACGCGCCGGGGCCCAAAATCTACAAGCCGATGTTTTTCAAAATCGCCGCATGCTCCCTCACATCCCCAAACGCATTAGCCGCAAGCCACGCCGATGCCGCCGTCGCGGGGACCCCGATCCCCGGAAACGCGCTATCGCCCACGCTCCAAACGCCGTGAATCGCCGTGGTACTCTGCGGGAGCGGCAGCGTGAGCGGCGACTGCGCCGCGTCGACCATGGGCCCGTACGAGCCGAACTTCCTGTTGAGGAACCGCTCATGCGTGCGGGGCGTACCGACGAGCTTGACGTGCGCCAGGTCGCGCACGTCCTGCCCGAAGATCCTGGCGACCGCGCGCCACAGCACGGCACTGCGCTCGGCCTTCTTCGCGTCGTACGCCGCGGTGCCGGGCCGCAGCCCGGCCCACGCCGCGTACGGCTCCGTCGCGGGCGTGTACGCGTGCACGACGGCGAAGCCGTCCGGCGCGCACCCCGGCTCCAGCACCGTCGGCACGGACACCAGCACGACGTTGTCCGGCGACGCGATCCCGCGCGACCAGTCCTCGACGGACACGTAGTTGGCCTCGAGCGCGTAGGGGATCTTGGCGCGCACCGCCGGAGTCAGCTTGATGGCCAGGTGCAGGTGCATGAACGACGGGCACATGGGCGTGTCGGCCGACTTGGCCGCCGTGGGCTCGCGCGCCTCGTCCGAGAAAAGCGAGGGGAAGTCCAACGAGGACACGTTGCTAATCACGCCCTCCTTCGCAATGGCCTTCTCCCCAGACTTCAACCTGACACCAACTGCCTTCCGCGCGTCCCCTGCGTCCTCGACCAAGATTTTGACGACAGGTGCGCGCAAGGAGGTCGCTGGAGGCAGGAATGGTTCTCTTCACGCTCTCTCAGAACTCTACATCGCAAAATTGATTGAAGGATGGAAGGGAGAGTGGGGGGAATGGTTAGTAAATGGATCTTCAGATTTTCAGTGGGGGCAAGCTTGCCGCAAGAATCGGCAATCGGAAGATCGTCTCGCCGCGAGCAATGCACTCGGTGCAAGGAATAGAATTGCAAGCACGGTGGGCACGCAGAAATGCAAGAGGCAACACACCATTATCCGATACGATCTTGTAAATGACGAGGCCCGTTCCGGCTGTGAGTAAGAGTGGGGTGGCGCGTCGCAGGATGCCTGGAGTTGGGGGCGGGGGCGGGGGTGGAGCAGAGCCGGGCGGGGCGGGGGCTCCCATCGACGTGGGGGACGCGGTGGAGAGTAGACGCACGCCGGCGAGGCCGGATCGCGTCGCGGCAGATCGAAACATGGGGAAGCAGGCGCGGTGCCAGGCACGCGATTGGGAGCGAGTTCGCGATGGGAGAGTGGAAGTGGTTTGGTGTGCCGGTATGGGGCGAGAAACGAGGGGAGGGGGGATCTGCCTGTTTGGCGTTAGAGCCTCGGGGTCTGCCAAGTGGGCCCTATCAAAAGGGATACAGGTACTGTAAAAGGAAATTTGCGGGATTGGTTTTGAGAGAAACATTTTGAAATAGTTTCAAGGTATTTGGATGAAAAGTTTTGGCGTCCAACGAGGCAAGTTTCCTATTTCGTGCCAACAAGCCAACTTCAAGGGGGCTGGGATAAATGCCCTCCATTTCCACTACTTTCAAACCTTTTCGTGTCTATCCGACCAAGCGTTATTGTAACATACAAATGTGCGAATGTTATTTCTTTTCAACTTTGATGGCCACGGCTTCTATTTTTCTTTGGTAGATTGACTGGGTTTAATAATATTTTCAGAAGTTAAAACCGAATAAGAAGCACACAAGCCCATGTTTCTATGCTACTGGTATAAATTTAGCTTAAAGAAAAATGCTTTAAGCTGAACTGCATGGCGTAGACAGCCAATATTCCTCTCGCCTAGCTGGAATGCATTCTGCATTCCAACTCACACTGCTTTCTGGTTTCAGCAAATAATTTAGTCTATTGAAGTCATGTTAGCTTTATCTTTAAATACACAGACGATAGTCTCACGATGATCGGAATTAGAAATTGCTTTGTTATATTGCCTGATAAGCGCAGAGAGTAACAAGGTGATCCCTTGGCTGGTCAAGTACACGACAGTAGGCTTCGGTCACCCTAAAAATTAGTTCAAGCACATTTATCGAAAAGTGATGGCTGCCATGCTTGACGAAGATTTCAACGGTGCCTTTGTACTGTATCTACATGCAATCAGTTAAGGGCGCTGCGAAGAACTGCACTCTTTGGGTTTCCAATACAGTGCCCACGCGATAACTGCAACCCCCGATAACTGCAACTACCCGATAAATGAAACGGCAAGTAGGGAACCATCTCCGGAGTAATTCAAAAATTACTAAAAAATAGGACCGTTTCAGATCTGATAACTGCAAGGTTTGAAAAATACCTTCAGAGCGTCATATGGGCTGTTTTGAAGGGGTTACAAAAAATTCAGTCCTCGGTCGGGCGACAGATGGTCGACGGCCATAGATAGTCAAAATATATACATGTTTTTCAAATAAACTTTTGAGGTGTTGGATCCTAGAATCTAATGCGATGGATGCTAGGCCCTATCATAAGGCTTGTTAACTGAAACCACGCAGTAACCCGCGATTTCGGGTTGTTTTTTCATTTTTGCTTTTTGCTTGTTTATTCATGCAGAAACTGAGAAACTTCATGATTCTTCATGAAGAAACGACTTTGGACAATGGTAGCCACGACTTACACGTTACATCTCCATGATGGAGACGGGCTACAGGGACCCTAGGAAGGCATGGGGGATCTCGATTTGGATGGTTGATCGCGATTATCGGTGGGTCGCCTGAAGAAGGCCGAAGTGGTGATTTTTTCATTTTGCAGCATTATCTGGCAGTTTTTGCGCGCAATTGCGCACAAAAACATGATTTAATGAAATCGCGGGCAGTAACTATCATAAGGCTTGTTAACTGAAACCACGCAGTAACTGCAACAGAGGGGGGTCTCCCCAGGTGTTGCAGTTATCGCGAGGGTACTGTATACGGATGTTCAGGGGGTGTGAACATCTCGTTGTGATGGAATCGGGCATGGCGAGAGGATTTGTTCCTGGTAACAGAAAATAAGGGTGAGGCATGCTCTTGATGATAAATTTATTGAAAGACGCAGAGTTGTGGCTGGATTGTAATGAATCTTTCATCAAGAAGGACGGGAATTTTTAACCACGTTGATTTCGTCCAGCGTGTCAGGAGTAGATAATGTAGCACTGTAGACGAATGCGCTATTATAGTATACAGGCCCTTGCCGGAAAGTCTCGATGGAGGGCAGCGGATACGGAAGAGGCGATTTTAGAAATACACATAATGTTTTATAGACTTGCCAAATAACAAGACGTGTCAAATGTCAGATAATAATCGACAATGTGCTGGACACTCCGCAAATAGTTACCCTTCCTCTCCATGACATGAACTCGGCTCGACGTCTCCGATACCTGTTCCTTTACAAACGTGTCGTAATAGTATAAATACAAAAGTAGCAACTATAAACAGAAGGGGGAAAAGGACACAATCCCACTTTCTTCGACAATGTTTACACGACTACTTGAGTCTCATGAGGCCACTTTCCAACTTTGTCGTCCTGATTCCAGACTATAATCTTTATTGATGACGAAAATGCATCCCGTGTACATAGTGTCCAGCTCCAGTTGACTTGACTGGGTGCCAACAGGTTGTTTTGCGTCTTGATCCAATGATTGTATGCGGCAGAGTACCGCTCGGCTTTGAGAAGGCTATTTTGGCTGTACGTTACTACAAAACAGAACATATTTCTGGTGGGGAGGGCAGCTTTGCTGTTCATCTTCAGGTCTTTTCAGTACCAAGGGTACATGAAGTCAAGACTTCTCACGAAAGCTTTTTGGCCCGACTATCCTGAAAATAACCGGGAAAAGGTAGTATTCATCACGGGGCTCATGGACTCTCCCACTTACCATACTTTGCGAGGGAAAAGGTAGTATTCATCACAGGGCTCATGAACTCTCCCGCTTACCAAACTTAGTGAGGGTGTGGGTAAGTCATTGCTGTCGTATTGCTGACATGACAGCAACTCCTCGTCAATGCTGCCTACCGGTTTGTCCCTCCTTCTGTACAGCAGTCCAGTACAGTGGTGCCTCGTTAATGAATCCGCCCTGTGTGCACCAATGAGGTGGATTCATTACTGGAACGGATTCATTAGCGGTCACACCAAGCCGCTGTTTTGGAAAGGAAAAAAGCCGAAGAGGAAGCAAATTTATCAAGGGAAAGGTCTTACAAGGCACTTTGTTCGAACGTGGAATGGATGCGGAATAATGTGGAGGAGGCCAAGTGGAGGGGTGCCTGTGAAATCATTCAAGGAAAGCTGGTCGATGTTTTGCGAGTCGCGACGGCGGAAAGAAACGCTGCTGCTCCGCAACAGAAGCAGAAAAGTATCATCGATTTTTTTAAAAAGCAGTAATAAATCAACTCTCCTCAACATACAAGTATTTGATGTGAATAGAATGCGGTCAGTTCACCTTGTTACTGAAGCATATCGTTATCAAACCTCTTATCATACGGTTTGTCATAAAAGGGTGTGTCAAGCCCCGACCCGGATTCATTACTGGAACGGATTCATTAAAGTCGGATTCATTAACGAGGCACCCCTTGTACAATAGTACAGTACGTAGTCTTTGTCGTCGTGGCATCAATGCGTACTATAGAATGGCCTGTGACCTCCGTTCTGTTTTTGTTTCTTTGTCGCACCGGACTGAAGGCACATATCCTTTTCTTTGTAGATATCTCCGGATCCTCCATGACGTCCTCGCCTGTTGGCTTCAAAGGGCTCTTTTTCTGACCCGTACGTACTGTCTCTATCACGTTTAAAATTTTCCACTCTGGAAACAGAAATCACTTGACACCGGGGCTTGTGGATTTCTAGAAAGGCGTCTCGAATCTTAACCGGATGATATTAGCAATAGTGTGTTCGTTGCATCAACACCAAAATCGTAGGTATATCCCAAGATATTTCAAATACATCATGTGGAGTCTCAGACCATCGCCCGCTCGCACAGCCTCTACATTGCAAGCAGTCACATCCAAAGCTTGAGCTTTCATCACTTGTGGGACCCGCTCTTGAAAATAGCGTCATGGAGCAAAATACTGTGCCGATCAAGTTTTCGCTCCCCGTTTCCGAGGTCTTCTTCAGCAACGAGACATTGGAAAACTTTTTCATTTCACTTTTCACCCTGATCATCATCTTTCTCATCAATATAGTCACCGTCAGCCTGCTTCGTCATCGCGGAGAGAAAAACGAACTCCAAGTCGGCAACTACTTTGACATGGTCGCATACAATGAAATCTTCAATTTCACCACCTGGATAAAGTGGCTCAAAGTGCAACCCGAAATCAGCATCGACAAGGCTAAGAATACCAGTACAACACCTTCCCGGCAAGTCGCTAGGAGGCGCATATGCAAGGCAGTCCTGTTGAACGGGTTAGCAGTTGCATTACAGCTCGCTCTACTGTTTTTTTTTAGCCAAGAAGTGACTCCATTGAAATCCGACAATGTCGGTGTAGTCGTCAAGTACGCACAGGATGGCCTGACGAGGGTCCGAAGCGGGAATTGCCTAATTTCAACGCCCGAGAGGCGCAGAGAACAACTGGGAGGTGTCTTTTCGTCGTGCGTGTCTGTAACGCCTACGAACCAGGAGCCCCTGAATGGAAACGTTGATTATAAATTTGTACGTGGAGGCAGCACCCTCCTCATGATTTATACGGCGGCAGGGGCTACGATCACGTCCAAAATTCAGTTTAGGCACATTTTTGAAAACGTTCTTGCTACTAAGCTCGACGAAAATGTCAATGAGGTGTTCATGCAAGCATTCTTAGACGAGGCCGCCGCGAAGAACTGCACTCTTTCGGATCCAAACATACGGTCGTTCAGCGGGTGTAGTGATCTTGATGTGGTTGAGCTGGGGCTTGCTGCTGCGGAAGCGACAGGATTCGTTGGTGGTAGCAGCACGTTGGGAGTTGCGCAAACCCTTGAAGAACAAAGGTTTGTTGAGAAACGTGGAGTAATCGTTGGTTCGTTCTCTTCCACCAAGCTAAAGATTATGTATCTACCAATTATTGCGGGGGTCATTCTCCTGGTCTGTTTGCTTATGGGCATGTTCCTAAAGGGAAACCCTCAGGCAATAGTGAACTTACTGATCATTGAAAAAGTCAACCTGAAACCGACTACCTGGCCTTACTTATTTGTGGATGACGGGTGTATTTCTGCAGTGAAGTGGCTGGACGAGAACGGAGAAGGACATATTGGCACAAGTGTGCCCCAAGGCATGGAAAAAGTGCAGGAGTTTGATGAGGGTGTTGCCATGGCAGAACCGCCAATGGCAGAACTGCCAATGGCGGATAGGTCCGAAAAAGAGGGGCATTCATGGAAGTGTTGGCCGTGAGGCGTTGATCAGTTGTGCCTGGGACTGGAATTCAACGGACTGCTGTAATTCTGTCCGGCAGTCCGTTGCATATAACCGAACAACAAACAATACCACCACACTGGATGATGAGAGTGAATAAATGATTGGCGACAGCACACTGTGCATCTTGAGTGATATTTGGTATCGCGGGGTTCCACACAGTCCTCCACCAGAAATGGTGAAACTGCAGGCAGCGCTACTGTGCGACAGGAAGAGTAGGTCTTCCAGGCAAAGACTACATATTCTTGTACAAGTACAAAATGTTCTAGAATTCGGGCAACTGACGGTCAGATCTATTGTACTGCCACACCGCTCTAGTGTCCAAATCACAGGAAGCTGTGACCGGAATCGGCACTCCCTTCTGAACAGTCCGTGCTGCGCGCACCGACTACAGGAGCGGACGTCGCCTTGCATTTTGTCCTCAATACTGTCGCACGCGGCACTGCTGGGCGCGGGGGATGAAGGGGGGGGGGGGGGGGGCAGGGTCACGGACCATAAAATTTTTTTCCACACTTCGTACCTGGTCCACCTTCAGAGCAAGTTCAGCACAGAACAGTGTCCCTTCCGGTAATGCGGTGCGGTGTTGAACGCCGGGGTATTGTCACCTGGACCGCAGCGCAGCTCTATTCTCCAAAGGCGGCATGGGACGCGCCGGGGCCCAAAATCTACAAGCCGATGTTTTTCAAAATCGCCGCATGCTCCCTCACATCCCCAAACGCATTAGCCGCAAGCCACGCTGATGCCGCCGTCGCGGGGACCCCGATACCCGGAAACGCGCTATCGCCCACGCTCCAAACGCCGTGAATCGCCGTGGTACTCTGCGGGAGCGGCAGCGTGAGCGGCGACTGCGCCGCGTCGACCATGGGCCCGTACGAGCCGAACTTCCTGTTGAGGAACCGCTCATGCGTGCGGGGCGTACCGACGAGCTTGACGTGCGCCAGGTCGCGCACGTCCTGGCCGAAGATCCTGGCGACCGCGCGCCACAGCACGGCACTGCGCTCGGCCTTCTTCGCGTCGTACGCCGCGGTGCCGGGCCGCAGCCCGGCCCACGCCGCGTACGGCTCCGTCGCGGGCGTGTACGCGTGCACGACGGCGAAGCCGTCCGGCGCGCGCCCCGGCTCCAGCACCGTCGGCACGGACACCAGCACGACGTTGTCTGGCGACGCGATCCCGCGCGACCAGTCCTCGACCGACACGTAGTTGGCCTCGAGCGCGTCGGGGATCTTGGCGCGCACCGCCGGAGTCAGCTCGATGGCCAGGGGCAGGTGCATGAACGACGGGCACATGGGCGTGTCGGCCGACTTGGCCGCCGTGGGCTCGCGCGCCTCGTCCGAGAAAAACGAGGGGAAGTCCAACGAGGACACGTTGCTAATCACGCCCTCCTTCGCCATGGCCTTCTCCCCGGACTTCAACCTGACACCAACTGCCTTCCGCGCGTCCCCCGCGCCCTCGACCAAGATTTTGACGACAGGTGCGCGCAAGGAGGTCGCTGGAGGCAGGAATGGTTCTCTTCACGCTCTCTCAGAACTCTACATCGCAAAATTGATCGAAGAACGGAAGGGAGGGTGGGGGGAGTGGTTGGTAAATGGATCTTCAAATTTTTAGTGGGGGCAAGCTTGCCGCAAGAATCGGCAATCGAAAGATCATCTCGCCGCGAGCAATGCACTCGGTGCAAGGAATAGGATTGCAAGCACGGTGGGCACGCAGAAATGCAAGAGGCGACACACCATTATCCGATACGATCTTGTAAATGACGAAGCCCGTTCCGGTTGTGAGTAAAAGTGGGGTGGCGCGTTGCAGGATGCCTGGAGTTGGGGGCGGGGGCTCCCATCGGCGTAGGGGACGCGGAGGAGAGTAGACGCACGCCGGCGAGGCCGGATCGCGTCGCGGCGGATCGAAGCATGGGGAAGAAGGCGCGGTGCCAGGCACGCGCATGGGAGCGAGTTCGCGATGGGAGAGTGGAAGTGGTTTGGTGTGCCGGTATGGGGCGAGAAACGAGGGGAGGGGGGATCTGCCTGTTTGGCGTTAGAGCCTCGGGGTCTGCCAAGTGGGCCCTATCAAAAGGGATACAGGTACTGTAAAAGGAAATTTGCGGGATTGGTTTTGAGAGAACCATTTTGAAATAGTTTCAAGGTATTTGGATGAAAAGTTTTGGGGTCCAACGAGGCAAGTTTCCTATTTCGTGCCAACAAGCCAACTTCAAGGGGGCTGGGATAAATGCCCTCCATTTCCACTACTTTCAAACCTTTTCGTGTCTATCCGACCAAGCGTTATTGTAACATACAAATGTGCGAATGTTATTTCTTTTCTGTAATGATAACCATACATGCACACACGTGCACACGTAATACACGGCTCACAACGCCGCACAGACGACGGCGCTAGGTCGCTAGTCTTAAGAGAATGAGTGAGAGTGAGAGAAGTAAATGAGAGTCATCGTCTCGTCACCACAGGTTATGGACTCTACGCAAAAACCACTGCAGATCGATCAACAAAAAAAGGTGCAACAACCCCGACGATCAACCAGGCAGCGACACAAGCCACCAACACAAGCCACCCACCCTGGCAACCTGGAATATCGCCCTGCAAACCCCACAACACCCACATCACCACTCAAGAGCCGCCCTCCTCCGCCCCGCCCGCAGACAATAGCAACAACCCCACAACCATGGCAGATGAAAGATCACAACGACACCCGGTTCCATGGACGACTGCCGACCCTCGAGTCCAATGGGGACAACTTCCCCATATGGAAGCAAGCGCTAACGGACATGGCACTGATCAATGACATGGAAAACCTGCTGAACCATGCCTACCCTACACCCGATCAGGACAGCCCCATGTACGCCAAGTACAGGAGACAGAGTGCAATACTCCGCATGGCCATCAACAACTCACTGCCTGCAGACTTCGCAGCAACAGCGGACATGGAACTGGGCGCTTCCCCGCTTGAAATCACACAAGTCATCACCGAACACTTCACTGACAGGACGACTACAGCTCACCTACTGTTAAAACAAGAAGCGACTAACACAAAGCTTACACCCGGCACTACACTTGATGAATACATGACGAAGCACAGGGCGATACGCACAAGAATGAAGCTAGCCCAATACCCCAACATCACAACTGGAGAAGAAGTAACAGTACACTTCATCATCCAAGGTGTAGTATAACCCCCCCTGGGGCTTTATTTTAGATTAGATCAACTCAGAATCGGATCGGTTACTGTAGGGCTCGATGCTCTACAGTACCACCACGTGTACCCCCAAGTACAGGGGGGCACGTGTACACGTGTACGCGCGGAACGAAGAGCGCGCACACACGTGTACTGTCAGCCCCGATGGCTGACAGTATTACAGTGTCGACCGACCGCTACCGTACGTCGCTACAGTACATCGGTACTGTACTATTATGATAGGTTATTATGTACATTAAATATGGAGCGGACCGGCGGCGGTGGAGGAGGACAAGCACGGACTTGTCACCCACCGACCGTCAAGGTCCGACTTCCCGCTTATTCTAAGGTAGCGCTCGCTAACTACCTTAGAGCGGCACCGAGCGCGGGTTGAGGACGCGCGCGGTACGCCCACGAGTCGGCTCCGCCTCCGCCCGTCGGTACTGGATCGTTACCCAGTACCGCGCCGGGGCGTCGAGGCGTCGAACCGCTCGCGCGTACCGGCGTCCTCCCCGTTCCCGCTCTACCACGCTACCCGGGCCCGCTGCCCGGTGCCGTTAGCTGGTGTCCCGCTTCACCCCCGTCTTCCCGTTCGGACGGGGTCTACGTCGAGCTGTGCATACACCCCTCTCCGTTGGGGGTGTTTATGCTACACAAGGCCTAGCATCACATCCCACATACAAACACTTGCAAGATATGTGGATCGAAACGGACACTGTGCCCAACACAATTCACAACATCAGGCAACGCCTCAAAGCGGTGCACGCAAGGAGCTTGGAAAAAGTCAGCCAAAAACCTGAACAGCCACACGGCACCCAACCCCAAGCATCGAGACGCCCCCGCAGACGAACAACTAGATGGAGAGGGGCCACACGACCCAAATGGCAACGAACATACTGGAACCCAGTACCGCCCGCACCGTATATGCTACCATACCCCCAGGTCATGACACAGCAGCCACCAAACCAAAAATGGACCAAAGAGAGAGGCATGAAAAAGAAGCAAACACACGGTTACACAGCAAACCTCCACGAGGAGACAACAGAGGCAGAACACATGTACGACGAGCAGGGAGACACAAACTGCCACGACATGGACGGTAGGAAATTTGCACTCGATTCGGGAGCCCACCCCTCCCACATCCGCAAACCAACAAAAGGCATGAAACCCCTGACCAGAAAAATCCGCACTAACACGGCAACATCAACCACACCCCCCGCGACGCACCACGGTACTCTTCAGATCCAGACGACGAGCAACAAATGGCTTAAGCTACCCACCATTGCCGACCCACATATCAAGACCAACCTATTGTCAGTCCATGACATAGCCAAGCAATGGGGAGCTGTGATATTCTACCCCCACACAGCCTGTGTACTCGACACGAGCCACAGCCCACCAAAAGTAGTAGCTACAGCAGCATTTCGCAAAGGCTTATACACGCTCAACGTGGCCAATCCTCAACCACAAGCAACCACAGTTCGAGCAATACCGCAGCCACGCAAAGCAGCTCGCAGGACACCGCAAACACGCGTAACCACCACAAGACGGGGATCTCCTGCCCACAAATCAAAATCTCAGCCAAGATCACAAACCCCGAACGCGCATAAAAAATTTGCCCCCATGCACAAGCAGCACAACCCTGCCCCTTCACCCCCTGACACTGTCAACGCGCGCACCCAGCACGAACACCACCATTGGCACATAGTATTCAATCATGTGCAACCATCCACTATACAACAAATGGCTAGGAGGAAACTAATACCGAACCTCCCAGCCTCACTGGCCAACACCCCCCCTAGAATCACGTGCACAAGCTGTGCAGCAGCTAAACTCCAACCAGCACAACACAAACGGAAAGATCATAACTATGGCACAGGGGAAGCACTCAGTAGTGACATCTGCGGCCCTTTCCCCACCCCATCACGGCAAGGAAACAAATATTTCATGACAATTATTGACACAAACTCACGGTATCTCATACTCACCTTCCTCAAAACAAGGGATGAAACCGCAAACCAAATGGACAACGTCCTAAAGCACATGCAACAGCAAAAACCCCACACATCAAGGAGAGTACACACAGATAACGCGAAAGAGTATCTATCGGCAATGACAAAAACAGTATACAGCACAAATGGTGTACAACACACGACCACTGTACCGTATTCACCACAGGAAAACGGCATAGCCGAACGCATCAATAGAACTATACTCAACGCAGCACGCGCTGCATTACACCACAGTGGACTCCCCACCGATCACTGGGAAGATGCAATCAAGGATGCAGCATTCAAGTACAATAACACTCCACCTCGGCATCGGAAAAATCCCATCCACAGTCTGGCTCGGATACAAGCCGAAAGTACCACAATACCTCATCTTCGGGCAGTTAGGCCATATCCCCAATATCATGGGCAAAACAAAAATGCACAAGCTGCAGAAAAGAGCCCTCACGGTAAGATACCTGTATGCAACTGACCAGAAACACATCATGGTCATGAGCACAGAGGACAACACAACCAGACGTGTCAGAACAGTGGATTTCAACATCTACCACAGAGACCGCGACCCCAACAACCAAAGTTACGCGGCATTCAAGGCGTTCACACCCAAGCCAACACCTTCGAAAATAACCAACACCACCCCTGCCCCCATGCATCACGGGCAAGCCAAAAATTACCCGGATGCAAAAAATTGGGCGCAAGCTCACAACACAGAGCTCAGAAACCTCGACCAAAACAAGGTCATCACGTGGCTCCCCCACCACAAAATTCCCACAGCGGCCAAACCCATCCTGCTAACGATGGGGTACCGCTATAAGAGAAATGGCAAAGGGGAGATCACAGAACGGAAAGCAAGGTGCTCAGAAAGAGGAGACAAAATGCTCCCCAATGTCCACTTCGACCCCGAAAAAACCACGACGTACATGGCTGACAAAACCACGGTACGACTCCTATTCGCCATAGCAGCAGCCTTTAACATGCACATAGCCCACATAGACATAAAAGCCGCATACCTGCACGAAAAGTTTGAACACTCAGGCAGCGAGCAAGTGTATGTCCGCCAACACCCAAGGTTTGAAGGCACGTACACTCATGAACACAAGGTGGGCAAGCTCAACAAGAACATATACGGCACACCGGGAGCTGGACACACCTACCTCAACGCAGTATTCAAACTACTCAAAAAGAACAAGTTCATCCAATCTGAAGCTGACATGTGCCTCTTCCACAAAAAAGACAAAAACCACACAATAATAATCTCCATCAGCATGGATGATTTTACAATCATAAGCACATCACAAAAACTACAGAAAGAGTTTGCCGCGATCCTGGCCACGGCCTATAACATCAAACAGCTAGGCGAACCAAGCCAGCTCCTAGGCTGGACCGTCAAGCGCATGAATGACGGCTCCATACATGCATCACAGCCAACTGCGATACAGTACGTTGCCAACAAAGCAGAAATGAGCAAGTGCAACAGCAAACCAACGCCATACAATGACAAAACAAAGCTGAATGGCCCGGTTCCCGAAGACGAACCCATGCCCCATGTCACCAAAATATACCAACAGCTGCTTGGTGACATACGATA